GACTGTCAGCTGATTTCTCAACAGAAACTTTGCAGGCCAGAAGGGAGTGGCAAGAAATATTCAAAATGATGAAAAACATGAAACTACAACCAAGATTGCTCTACCCAGCAAAGCTATCATTTAGAATTGAAGGTCAGATAAAGAGCTTCTCAGACAAGGAAAAGCTAAAGGAGTTCATCACCACCAGACCAGCACTACAGGAAATGTTGAAGTGTCTTCTTTAACAAGAAGCTAATGAACAAAAGAATCTGATGAACTAAATAGATCCAGAGACATTGACACGTGTAACAAACGATCATATTTCAGAGGGAAGAGGGAAGGGGGTGGAAGGTGGGAAGAGATTAACCAAAGAAGTTATATGCATATATGCGTAACCCATGGACACAGACAATGACGGGTGAAGGCCTGGGGAGGGGGTGAGAGCAGGGTGGAGGGGGTCAATTGGGGGGAAAAAAATGGGACACCTGTAATACTTTCAACAATAAAGATAATTTTTTTTAAAAAAGAGGGGATATTGCTTTAAATTTTCCTTGAAAAAGCCAGGAGAAGGCAGAAAAAGCCTTGAGAAGCTAGAAATCCAAATTTTTATGAGAAATCTTCTGATTTTCAAATGTTAGCAGCTAAGTGTTTTGAATGTAATCTAGGTATTTACTTTTTATTTTTTTAAATAACCTTTATTTTTTAGAATAGCTTTAGATTTACAGAAAAATGGCAAGGATAGATGTTCCCATGTACCCCGTACTCTGTCTTCCCTATTATTATTATTTTTAAAAATATTTTATTGATTTTTTTAGAGAGAGAGAAAGGGAGGATAGAGAGATAAAAACATCGATGAGAGAGAAATATCATCAACCTACTGCCTCCTGCATGCCCCCTACTGGGGACAGAGCCCAAACCCCAGGCATGTGTCCTAACCGGGAATCGAACCCATGACCTCTTGGTTCATGGGTTGATGCTCAACTACTGAGCCGCACCGGATGGGCTGTTTTTCCTATTATTAACATTTTACATTAGTATGGTATATTTGTCACAATTAATGGGCCAATAGTAATACATTATTATTAATAATTTATTCAAATTTCCTTAGTTTTTATCTAATGTCCCTTTTCTGTTCCAAGATCCCATCCAGGATAGCCTGTTACCTTTAGTTGTCAAGTGTCCTCAGGCTCCTCTTGGCTGTGACAGTTTCTCAGACTTCCCTTGGTTTATGTTTGTTTGTTAATCCGCACCCAAGGATATTTTTCCATTGATTTTTTTTAGAAAGAGTGGATGGGAGGGAGGGAGGGGGAGGGGGAGAGAGAGAGAAAAAAATTGATTAGTTGTCTCCTGCATGCACCTGACCAGGGCTGGGATTCAAACCTGTAACCCAGGTACGCCCTTGACCTGGAATCGAACCCACTCTAACCACTGAGTCACACCGGCCAGAGTGACTGCCCTTGTTTTTAATAACCTTGACAGTTTTGAGGATTACTGGTCAGATACTTTGTAGAATGTCCCTCAATTTGGCTCTTCTGATATTTTTCTCATTAGACAGAGGTTATGGGTTTTCAGGAGAATGCCACAGAACTAAAGTACCATTCTCATCACATCATATCAAGGGTACATACTGTCAACATAACTTATCACCGCTGATGGTGACCTTGATCACCTACATGACGTAATGTTTGTCAGGTCTCTCCATTGTACAGTTACTATTTTCTCCCCTTGTAAAAGGAAGTGTCTCTGTACAGCCCACATTTAAGGAGTGGGGAGTTATGCTCCACCTCTTTGAGGACAATGTCTCTCCATAAATTATTTGGGATTCTTCTCAGCACCATCTTCCACAACCAACTCCTACTTACCTTTTTGGCTTCATCCAGCCCCCCCCCCCCCAGGCTCATCATACTGCAGATCGTTACTTGCAGATCCCTGAGGAAGTCCTCTCAGAACTCAGTCTGCATTAAGAGACTTTCCTCCGAGTCCCTAAATACCCTGTGTATGGCCCCATCATGGTATGCATTCCTATTCTTTCTTAACACTCTTGCCTGTGAGACTGAGAATCTGCGAGCAGGGGCTGTCTTTTTACTTGCCTTTGCTCTGTGCCTGTACAGTGCACACATCAGACACTTAGTCAATGTTTTTTGAATGAATGAACTGAAAGACTTTTAGAATCCCAGATATGAGATTTCTTTGAATTTCCAGTCCTTCTGTCTTGCCAACAATCACAATATTCTGCCTTGTATTACTGTTACTTGGGTGCTTGTCTTCCTCATTTTAATAACTCCAATGCTCTTCAAGGGTTGGGATCCTGTTTTGTTTTTCATGTAGTTTCATGATGTTTCTTACTGCCTTTGTCTTTCATGTACTTTCTAGGACAATGTCTTGCACAAAATAGGTGTTTAATAAATCTTTTTGGAGTGAGTGAGTTATGAGCAAATAAATGAACCCACCTGCAAATGTAATTGATGAGAATAAATTACACAAGGAAAGGAAGGATAATGGACTGGAAAATAAATGATAGAATTTCCGAACTAAACAAAGTTGATTGGTAATACATTATTTCCTAGCACATTATTTCCAACTTTTTATCATGTGCAAATAAATAGTTGTATTTTTATTTGAGTGGAGAAATAAAAAAACATTCTAGAATGACTGCATTCTAAATGAAAGCAAAGGCCAGTTTCACAGTTCCTTAACAGTAAGGAGAGTCAAGCCTGATTTATCTCTTAGATGGACCTTTCCCCCCAAAGATACACCCTGTTAATCTTGAAAATATCTGACTGGTGTATAACATAACATATGTTTCTTCCTTCCCTTTAAAGACCAAAAGAGTTCAAAGATTTTTTAAGTAGCATTTTTCTCTATAATAAAATATAAGTTTTCTAATTATCCACTGTTGGGGAGAAGTGAACAGAGGCCAACCATTCTGGAAGGAAAAATAATTCCTAATAGCAATACATATTACCATATCATCAACACCAAATTCAATGGATGCAGAAGGACCTCACTTAGAGGAATTTGAACTAGGAGGAAATTTAGTACCTCTTTCTCTACCCAAAAGGACATTTCATGAAGGATATTTTTCAATTACTAGTGTTTGATTAGAACAACCTGTAGAGGGCGTCCTTGCACCAAGAGCCATAGGGTTTGAGCAATACTAGGGGAAAAAAAATTTCAATTAAAACCACACTTTCTGGAGTCAAAGAAAATGTCTATTGTGTTGTGAAATTATCTTTAACTGGGAGGTAATTGGCATTACAATGCTGAAGTGCTTCAAAGATTGCCCAATGTATACGAATATTTATATAAATGAATATTCTCTGAAATAAAAACTAATGAAATTTTGGAAAGAAGTTAACTATTTTTATTTTAAAGAGAGAACAGCTGTGAAGCTTTGGATTCAAACAGACTTAATTATGACTTACTTACCAGTATGAGGTATAGCAGCTAAGAGCATGGGCTTTGAAATCAGGGAGCCTGGGATTTGAACCCTGACTCTGCCACTTACCAGCTAGGTAACCACACTCAACTTACTGGACCTTTTTGAGCCTTGTTTCCCCATCAATAAAATGGAAATAGTTATAGTACGTACTTAAAAGAACTGTGAGGCTTAAGTAAGCGCTTCAAATAAAAGTACTTTTAAAATGAAGACACTGAAAGTTCAAAAAGTCATAGGCTTATCTAAATCTCTTCAAAGATCAACAACTGTACGGCTGAAACTATTTCACAATTGGAACCGCAAATTCTGCTCTTTTTAGTCACTTCTCATGACCTATCATTTAATAACTTCTCGTGACCTAACATTTATGTAACTCAATGCATGCACATATCCAGCTTCTCCTCTGTTTCTGTTTGTTTTTCCTTCTTGAAGTGTCCACTGCTCTACAAAGCACTGAGTGAAACACCAGCCCAGGCCAGACACTCAGTCCCTGGGGCATTTGCTGCAGCATCTGGGTGCTAAAGAACAAAGAGAAGTAAACAACCCTTTCCTGAGTCTGTTATATTTCTGTAAAAGAAAAAAAAATAGCCCAAACCTTTTGCTTCTGTTTTCTTTGCTCATCCAGGGGACTCGGTAGGGGGAAAGTTAAGTCCTTCCTGCTGGGGTCGGGTGGGTGTGTCAGGCCGCCAGCCAAGTACTCTTCCCGCAGGCAAGGCCAGAGCCTGGGTCTTGGGCTCAAGCGCCTGGGATTTCAGTACCAGCGCGCGCCTCCAAGTTTTTGTGAAACACCAGCAAATAGAAAGATATTCACAACTTTCGGGAGCCGTGCTCCTGAGGGGTCGGGGAATCCAGAGCCCAGGGACTTCTTCCTGGCGCTGCTGGGTTAGCAGAGAGAGGGCCTCCCCAGCTGGCAGCGCACCTCCATGGCGCCTGAATGAGAGCCCTGCCCGGAGTCGAGCCCAGTGCCTGCAACCAGGGCTCACTGGACGCTGGAGTCTCGGGTTTAAACGCACGGGAACGCGCAAAATGTCAGCGTAGCGCGCATCGGAGAGGATAGGGTTTGCAGAGAGAGAAATGACAGGCGGAAAGGGAGAGTGGGAGAACAGGCGCCTTTATTTAGCACCGGGGTAGAAACGGGAGTCTTCATCATCATCATCACCATCATCATCATCTTCGGCGCTCAATCAAGTCCCGGGATCTCAGCTCCCCTCACTTCCCTCCACCCAAGCCTCGCCCGCTGGAGTCACGGGCGAGTGTCGTCCCCAGGGGTCCCTCGGGACACCCTTTTCCACAACCGCCCCCACCACGCGCCCCCTTTGCGCCGGCTAGCGCTCGGCC